CACCAACAACCAGAGAGACACACGCGAGAGAAGCTGCCTTCAGATACTTGAGGACAAACAGGAGAGAGTTATTTCTCACCACCATCAGGTAAATGAATTACGGCATGAGCCTTGTGAGAGAACCCCCTGTTATCCCTCAGAAGACCAAGCTTGTAGAAGCTACAGAGTTTTACGTAAGAAAGAAGTACATGAGCCAAACATATGCCGGACACATGAGGATGGAGGCCTAAGGCAGGAGAGGAACCTCTACCAAACCGTGGAGGTGGATAACAGAGACCTTTGCCTCCCGGGAGAATCGGCATCCGTCACCGACTTGAGAGTCCGCTATATCCCCGCTGAGCCTAATGAACAGCTAGAGGTGCGGGTCATCCCTGAGTCCTGCAAGCCCGAGACCATTGCGTACTTGATCCACGTGATCCAGAATTTGAACGATCCTGACGCTACCACCTATGAGATCGTCTGCCACCAGCCCCATGACCTGGGGCAGCCTGTCTACGTGAAGAAGTGCTACGTGTCACCCCAGCCGCCAGTAGTCCCGTGTGACAGGAGCAACCACCCAGAGCCACAACCCCAAAGGGATGAGCGAGAAACAGGGGAGCCCAAACCACTGCGGCAAGGGGGTACACCACCTTCTACCTCCCAGGAAAACACAGGGGATCTCAATGAGCCACAGAAAAGTTCTGAAACAGTGAAGGAAGGGGCTCACCTGGCTTCCACCTCCAAGCCATGTGGTGTTAAGGGTCATCCTCTCCAGGCAAAGACCAAGGAGGACAGGAGGGACGGCCAGTGCCCCAGGATGCCTGACGTGGAAGAGAAGGAGCATCACCCCAAAGGAGATGGATCAAAATCTTCCAGGGAGAAGGTACCGTGGGAGCCTGAATCCAGATGCCAGGTGAGGGAGTGTGAGGACAGGGAGGCCACGAGCTGCCCACCTCTGCCCCGGGCTCTGGAGCCACAGGAAGCTTGCGAGCCAGGCCAGCAAGCCACCAAAGAGAGCCGTCGCCAGCCGCCCCAGAGAGATGAAGCCAGCTGCTGCCACGAGGACGCAGAGCTTCTCCCGCCAAAGACCCACCAGCCATGGGAGAAGAAGAGCAAGAGGAGCCCCCAGCAAGTGAGCGATGCCCAGCCCCAACGGGAGGAGGAACCACGTCTTTGCACCAAGCAGAGCCAGGGCCCACCCGGTCACCCGGTCCCGCAGGAGGCACCGGGCTGTCCTGCCAGGGATGAAGCCAAGGCATCTTAAGGAGAAGTCCTCTCCCTGGAGCTGGTGGGGCTTCTCCAAGTCTCCTTGAGGATCACTTCTGCTCTCTGCTTTCAGCTTAGGACGTTACCGTGAGGTGGCACAGAAGTGTTCGGCACACAAGGATTAACGGGGTGCTCTGTGAGGGTGTCCAGTGGGTTTGGGGTTTTTCCATCTAAGAAATCCTCAGCAGATAGTTACCCCAGGGTCTGCAGCTTCTGCCTTCCTGCATTATGTCTATCCACTTAATGCAGTATTTAGCCACTTTTCTGCTCTAATTGGATTCCTTGGGTCTCTCTGTCCTTTATGTCCCTGTCAACTCTTCTACCCTGTGGCATGACTTGCTCTGCATCTCACTGCACTCACGTCTCCCTGGGCCTGTGACTGGCTCTCCTGTTAGCTTCTGCTGTGCAATGCAAAAAAAAAAAAAATTTTTAAATTCCAGTAGCTCAATCATTCTGAAGCCTGAAAATCCTCGAGGCTGGGGAAAAAAAAAAACCACTGTTGTAGAATCAGTGCTCTTGGTTACACCCTTCTGCTCCCCTAAGAGCTGAGCAGAATCCCAGCTCCAGCCTCACGGAGCCTTTGAAGCAGTTGAGTTTGTGCTGTGGTTACTACAGGGTAATGGTGGCGGGCGGGGGGGGGTCTCTCTTCTTCACACTGATGTATTGCATGAAAAATCAGAATAAATAGCTGATGACCGCACTGATTGCTGCCATCCTTCATCATTGCACCTAATTTCTACAAGGGCCTCAGCCAGGTCAGGGGTCTCCCAGTTCAGGTCACACATTCCTCCTAATCCCAGGCACTTAATCCAGACAGACGCTGGCTGAAAATCCCACCAAATGCCCCCTACTACATGTCTCGGAGTTCACATACGTCTCCAACTCTGGCCCCCACTACTGATGTACATGATTTCAGGAGCTCCCCTCGCAGCCCACGCGCGCTGTGGTCGCACGCCCGCGTGGGGACACGCAGATGTGCCTGTGCCACCCAGACACACATTTTCATAGCCACACGCATCCGTCTGCCCCGTACCTGGGACCACTCCTGGATCCTTGGGCAGGAGAGAGGCAGCAACACAGCCCAAAAAAACGTGCTCGATCTCTCTTGTGGTGCACAAGGCTGGAGATTGAGACGTCCATGACCCTCCCTGGAGAAAACCAGATTTTATTTCACTTTTCTTCCCCTTGAGCGAGAGAGAACCAATTCCCTCAGCAGCAGATGGAGCTGCAATTCCGCAAGAAGCCAGAGAGAGAAGCGAGGACAACCCCAGCACCATCTGTGTCTTGCTCTCAAAACGCAACCGTAGCCCACTGGCCAGAAGCGGGGCCGGCCAGGAGGAACAAGGGCATCTCAGGTCCACCACAGCCTGATGTAGCCTCAGGACGCGGCGCCCAGGGCTTCTCGCTCACCTCGCCCCCGGCCACCATCCCGTGATGGTTTGAACCTGGTGCCAGAGGGACTCGGAAGGGTCCGTCCCAGCCGGGGCAGGCACGGGGCGATGCTCTCGGCGATGCCCCCTTCGTGCACGTGGCAGCCGCACGTCTCGGTGGCAAACGGACGGCGGCACAGATGGTCCGTCTGCCAAGAGGGCCAAAGCCTTGACTGCAAACACACGCAGCAGCAAGAAACCAAAACCTCCTGAAATCGCCCACTGCAGCCAGGACGGGGCCGAGCCACGACCTCCTCCGGGATTTGCTCTTGCAAAGGGGGAAATAACACTTGCCCCTCTGACCAGCTCCCATTTTACTCTTAAGGCAGCACAAAGAGGGGTTTGCAAAAATGCGGGTGGCAACGCAAAATGCAAGAAGAGCAGCAGGTTTCCTGCCCTCAGCTCCCAGGTTTGGAAAATCCTTTTGATTTATGTGGACTCAGCTGTTTCCAGTTCGGGAGGGGCTGGAGGGAGGGCAGTACTTTTTCCCTAACACATAGGGAAAAAGGAGAGTTTCGGGGCAGGAAAGGAAAATATATTGGGGACAGTTGCCCCCCCGATTTACGGCTTCCCCTTCTCCTGCTCTACGGCTGACTCAGCGTTTCCAGCAGGATTTCCCGAAGAGCCTCATCCCTGGAAGCTGTCCCAGATCCCAGAGCACATCCCGGCTCCCGCAGCCTGCGTGACCCCGACGTCCCCACTCCAGACTCCCCCCAAAGCTTTTGGGGCAACGCAGCACCGCCCGGGGCTCGAGGCACAGGGAAATCCGGCCCTGGGCGGGCGATTTCGCAAAGGCGTGGAGACGGGTGCCATAACCACGGGATGGCTTGTGCAAACATGGGTAAACACCAGGTCTCCGAGCAGCTTCCCTGGCTCCCGGTGGATGGGGAGCGGCCGGGAATCGCAGCCCCACGCGCTGGTTTCGGAGCGGCAGAACCCCACAGCCCCCACCCTCCCTCCTCTGAGCTATTTGGGCACATCACTGGCCTTTCCGGGTGCCTTTTGGGTGTCTCCCTGTGTTCAGCCCTCCAGGGACTCTCACTCGGCAGCGGCACCGGGGCGGCCAGCCCCAGTGAGGAGCTCAAACCAGCACCGCTGGGGCCAAATCCCGACTGCAGCCAGCTCCCAGCACAGCAACCCAACCCCACGGGGCTGCCTTCCGACCTCAAACCAGCACCGCTGGGCCCAAACCCCGACTGCAGCCAGCTCCCAGCACAGCAACCCAACCCCACGGGGCTGCCTTCCCCCTCTTTTTACAACGTGAGGGGGCTGCGAGGTGTTGCCAGCAACGCTCAGCAGGTGAGGCGGGGCAGGGTGGAAGAGGACAGGCAGCCCCCAGGGGTGGGCGGGTCGGCAGGAGATCGCTGCCGGCTCACCTACACCTGATCTGCCTTTGCCGGCCTCGTTAGAAAAGCCGGGGAAGGCCAAATCTCCCCATAGCAAGAGGAAACACTGAGGAGCGGCAGCTCTGGGGGTGCTTAGCCCTGACCCTGGGGAAGAAATGAAGGGAGCCATAAGGGGACGAGTGGCAAAGGACCGAGGGGAGAAAACAGGCGAGGAGGAGGAAATGGAAGTGTAACTGCAAAGAATAAAACTCGGGAGGGAGAGGGACGGAAAGGCTAGAGGAGGGGCCCGGCACATTCCCGAGCCTGAGCTGGGGACCGCAGGCACGTCCAGATCTGCCGTTAGAGCTGACGCTTGCCCAAGGGGCTGAGTCAGGGCTGGGCGCTGGCTGCACCGGGAAGGGCGGTGGTCCATAACCGCCCCGGCTCCTGCTTTGCCACATCGCACCGCGGCCGTGCCAAGGACAGAGCCCCCTCTCGCAGCCCAGCCATGGTGAGTGAGCCGGGACCCTGGGACGGGTGGGGAGAGGCGGCTCCGAGAGGGCAATGGTGGAGGAGCTTTTCCCGCAAGCGGCCCCAGAGCCGAAGGCGAGACACACTTTGGCACGGGAAAGAGGAGACGGTGCCAAGGGCTGAGCTACAACTCTGCTGGGGAGGGAGCCTGGGCACAGCACGAGGGTGTAGAGCCAGAGAGGGAGCGCAGAGGGTCCCTGCAAATGGCGGGGACTAAGGGGGGGCAGGTGTGGTGTTCCCCACCACCCCCTCCCCTCTCTTCCTTTTTCCTACTGATGCTTCTGCTGCCCGTCACCAAACTCGGGGCTGCAGCGCTACCTCCACTGTCCTCTCCACCCCCAGTACCAGGCTAGAGGTGCCGAGGAGCCAAGAGCAGAAAACTTGCGGCTGAGGGCGGAAACAACTCGGCTCCTCTCACATTAACCAAAAAAGGCTGAATCCAGCCACAGGCAGGGCAGGATGCGGCAGGGAGTCCCGCGGGTGCTGTGTGTAGGCAGGGAAGGGCAGACTCCTCCCAGCTCTCCCCACATTGCCCTTCCCCTAAGCCAGGAGCCATGGGGAAGGGGGAAAAGCCCCACATCCTCCCCCCTCTCCCTGCCCTTGCCCTGTCTATCCCCACGGGGGAAGCACACAGGCCAGCCCAGCTCGTCCCTGCCCGGAGGCAGGAGTTTGGGGAGCCAATTCCACTCGCATTTTTCTCTCATGACGCAGAGTTTCTCCTCTGTCCAGACAGGGCAGGGGGAGGGAAAGGGGGAGACAGGCTTATCTTCCCAGAAAAGCAGCTCCAGCCAAGCCATTCTGGAGAGCATGGAAAAAAACTAGCACGTCACTGTGGTTGCAGCGCAAGCTGTTCCCAGTCCAGGACACTCCTCCGGTGGGAACTCACATCTCCCCAAGGGATTTTTCCATGAACCACTCCCCAGCTCTCTGGGTCCTTCCCGCACCACAGCGCTGTGCCAAGGCACCAGAGAAATTAATACCAAAGAAAAATGCAGCTGGACAGGTTGGGCATAGGAGACTCGGCACTGAAAGCAATTGCAGGAGGCCCCCCCTCAGCCCAGCCCTCCTCCAGAAAGAGTCAGGTTGCTCTTCCGCGAGGCCAGAGCTCCCTGCAACGCCCGCCTGAACCTGCTTTTGCTCCCGCAGCCCACGGAGACGGAACGCTGCATCGAGTCCCTGCTGGCTGTCTTCCAGCGCTACGCCGGGCGGGAAGGGGACAGCTGCACGCTCTCCAAGAGGGAGTTCCTGGCCTTCATGAACACCGAACTGGCTGCCTTCACAAAGGTGAGCAAAATCCGGGAGAGGCTCCCGTGGCAGGCACTTCAGCCCCCAGGACAGCAGTTAAAGCCTCTGACCCCACAAGCACCAGGGGGTGGGCAATGAGAAGAGCTCGCTCTCGCCAGAAGCGAGAGCGTGGCCTGACGAGAGTTGACCTGACTGAATTCTGCCTCCTCCTGCTAATCCCTCTCCGGTGGTGAGGAATTCGACAGCTGCAGCTCCGTACCTGGGGCAGGGGTTTCAGCGAGGGGCACCTTCGCCTCGAGGCAGAGATCAATTCCCGTCTCTTTGGCCTTTTGCAGAATCAGAAGGACCCGGGTGTTGTGGACAGGATGATGAAGAAACTCGATTTGAATAGTGATGGCCAGCTAGACTTCCAGGAGTTCCTGAACCTCATCGGGGGCATCGCGGTGGCCTGCCACAACAGCCTGGTTGTTAAGGCCCCTTCCCCCTAGCCCTGGCTGCTGCGTCTCCTCCACCACTATGAACATTCCTTAAACCCATGCAAAGCTGGAAGCAGTGCCCTTAAGATGGGGACACGCCCATTCCTCATTTTTATGTATAAAATAAAAGGTTTAAAATCCTAGTGTAAGGCATGGTTTTATTTCAGTATCATGAGTTAGGAGAAAGCACTAGGAAAGTAGTCCAGTCACGAGGGAGCGGGATCTCTAGCTCCTACCCTCTGGTTCTCCCCTGATGCAAGAACATGCCTGTTCTGATCCTTGTCACTGCTGGAAACTACAACCTGCCTGGCTCTGGGCATCCTCAGCCTTTAAAGCACCAGGGGGAAAGGTAATACTAAAGGGTGCAACTACACAAGACAAATGCAAAGCCAGGAGCATTACCAATAAGATTAATTTGAGCACTGGCAACAGCAATTACACACTAATAATTAGCAAAAGCAGCCCCTGCTGGCATGATGTATTATTTCAGGACTACAGCCTCCATTTTCTGCAAACTTCAAAACCCTCTAAGGTGGTAACTTAAGAGTGCAAAAGAGGAAGTGGGGAGAAGGTGAAAAGAGGAAATTAAATCTAATCTCTCTTCTATGTCAGTAAGACCAACTGAGCTACAAAATGGGAAGATCAAGATGGTCAATTTACTTTATTCATGAGAGAGGCTGATTATTTTGAGAAGTGTTGTTAGGACAACAAAACAAAAAGTCAACACTAGCATCTGCACACTGAGCTGCTCTCCTGCCACTTCTGAAGGAAGGAGCAGGGACAGGCTCTGCGCTGGCCCCAGATCCAGACAGTGCCACGCTCCTGTGAGCGCCAGGCTTGGCTCTTCCTGCCGTCCAGGCTGCGGCAGGGTCTTCGAGCTCCTCTTTCAGGAGCCCAGCACTAAAAGATGGAAGAGGCAGTTGCTGCCTCTCCAGCAGTTTCTACAGAGTGCACTGTGTGGTAACCAGGGCTCAGCAAGAACCATCCCTTAACCTCTGAAAAGATTTGCCTGGAGACGATGGTACACAGAAACGTCGCGTCAGCTGGATCTGGAAACAGAAGTGGAAGTTGCTACTATTTGGGAGCAGTTAAGAGTTTCACTACAGCATTCCTGGGTGGGGAAGAGCAGGTAAGACATGGCACAGGCTTCACTAAGACACTTCACTAAGGTGAAGAGACTAGACTAAAAGCTGGCATGGTGGGAGGTGAAAGTTTCCACACCGTGCTGTGAAATGAGACCATTTCCCTCCGATTTCACACCTCCCCAGGACAGACATGCCCTAGCGGAACTGGAGCGGGCTGATCCGCAGCCCGATGACATCTTTGCCGATCTCTGTCACCTGAGGAGTAAAAGGGAGATGATTAATGCTTAAAAGCAATTCAACAGCCCAAGCCCATATGCAGCATTCAGAGCCTAGACGGTTCTCGAGAATGCATGCTGCTGATCACTGCAATGTTGGTCCCTGAAGGTAGCATTTAAACTACACAGTATTTCACAATTCCCAAACTGTTCCACCACACATGCCAAGTCCTCCGACATTCAACTTGACCCAAAACCTACACCAAGTTAGAAGCAAGCATGGGGGAAGCTGCTGGAGGGGATTCTCAAGGGAAACATCACGAGTGCTTAGGAGTGGTAACAGACCTTGAGACTCCCTTACCGTAGTGACGCGGCAGATCTGCCCATGGAACTCAGGGCAGTAGCAAGCTCCACTGAGCGGACACTTCTCCACAGGTTTGCCACGATAGATGGGTCGGTAAGAGGCGGCACAGATGTCAAAGGGGTTGTGCATGTCGTAGTTGAGCTGGTAGGTGTCAGTGGGATTCTTCTCACATGCTGACAAGATCTTGCGAGTCTGCAAAAAGCAACCATATTGACCAGAGGGGCAGCTAGGAAGCAGTCCAAATAGGGTCTGCCACAGCAGGTATTTCTGCCCATGCACCTCACAGACATACCTGCTGGGCTACCTCAGGCTTTGGACCCAGCTCCAGCAGCCGACGGGCAAAAGTAGCAGCTGTCTTGAAGTTTTTGAGTTTGAAGAAGAGGTTGAGAGCAGTACGCAGCACCAAGATCATGTGGACGGGCTGCAGGTTGGAGTGGGTGAAATAGGCAGCCATCTGCATTAGGGAGAAGGAGGAAAAGTGGGGATACTATCACTACCAGCCGCATGAATAACTAGATACCCTGAAAATGCTGCAAGAAACCCCTCCCAAGTGATCACTGCCACATCTGCTTTAAAGGAGGAAATGGCAGAATTCAGGATTCCCAATGCCTTTTTAAACCCAAAGGCTACTTCCCCCTCATCTTCCTCATAGTGAAGTAGTTCACAGAGTTTCTGTACCTCGCAGATTCGCTTCTGCTGCTCCAGAGTCTCTTTGGGCAGCTTCTTCCGCTCAATTTCCATCGAGAGTCCTACAATATACTCCCGGCAAATGGCTATCAGCTGCTGGGCCTTTCAGAGAGGGAGACAGAGTCAGGCATTCGGCCTCCTGCCCCACAGGCATGCAGACAACGGACAGAAGAGCCTGCCTCTCACCTCAGCAATCTCCTGCTTGTTGTCCACCACCAGCAAGGGCACGCTCAGCAAGATGGAACGGAACTTCTCCACAGCCTCCTCAAACTTGCCAGCCGTAGTGAGCTGATAGCACAGCTGCAGGCGCTGGATCAGGTCGTTGAGTTTCAGTCCAACGGCAGGGAGGGCATTTTTCAAGCCAGCTTCTTTCCTGGGGGCACCAAAGTGGGGTTGGGGGTACAAACAGGACCACTGCAGAGGCCAGCAAGAACACACACATTGTCAGCTCGACTGCAACTTGTCAGAAATGTTTTGACCTAGGGCCACGCTGGTTTTCTTTTCCATTAGCTTAGCACAACACACCTGTGCTTCCACAATTCTGCCACCCACAATGCCCAGCTCTCTCTGCTTTAGCACAGGCTGGGAAGTCTGGCTCATTTTTCTACAGTGGTTTCCAGGTAAAAACACACCTGTGGTTCGCTACATGCCTTGGACCAGCTTTGTATGAGACAAAGCATTAGTGCTAGAAAACACAGCACCCCAACTGCCTCAACCCTGGTTTTAGTCTCTAAAAAAAATGAAAGCAGTTCTTTTAACATCTTTACATCTAACAGCAGGCAGCAGAAAAATCCCACTAAATACAGAATGCCCCCTGTTTATACCGAGCAAAGAGGAAGGCTCCTCCCTTCACAACAGAGGGAGGAGACCTTTCTGGCTACAACTGACAAGGAGTCTGGGAGGGATATGGCATACGGGAAAGCACAGAAAAGGAGCTAACTGGATTGCTTACCAGTTGCGATGTGGATATCCATACATGGCAGGGAGACATGGCAGGGCTTGGTAGGTCGTACGGCCACGGGCATAGGTCTGCAGGAACAGCTGCTTGTAGGGTCCAAAGTTTGTTACTCCTACCTGGTCATGAAGGAGCTGAGAGAGACACATTGATCTGCTGAGTGAAAGCTGTCCAGGGCTGTACAAAGGCCGCAGAGATATCAGTCAAGCTCACAAGCACCTCTTGTTTTATACCCAGAGAAAACAATGCACAGAATGATTCACAAAAGGACAGAAAACAAAGCTTCAGACTGGATCAGAGACAAAAATACATGGGGACAAGGGCACAATCTTTTTCACAGAAACTGCAGGGGAAACTTACTCTCATTGCTGTCTCAAAGGAGCCTGCCAGAATGTGGTCAACAGGAAGCTGAGAATTGTTACACCACACCTACAAGAACAGAAGGGAAACGTATACAAGAGGAATTGTGCATATGCACACAGTTGTCTTACCTACCTTCATCACCCCTAAGCTCCCCTTAACAAAGTTCCTATGTCATGCTCACAGATGAGTGCTAACAAGAAGGACTGAACCCAAAAAAAGAAGCACCGAAGTAGAAAGTTTCTGAGAAAGACAATCAAAGACTTGTGCCATTACCTGAGCTGGGCTGGTGCCCTTGGTGGGTGGCACAAAGAATCCATCCTCCACTGCTCCTGCTGGACCAGCAGGAACATCCTAGGGAACACACAGAGCAGTGATTAGTGTGGAAGTTTCCAGCACCCAGATGAAATCAGAGCTGGCCACAGCTGTGGTGACCAAGACTCTGAAGAAGCCCGGAACATATTTCCACCACCACCACCACGAGCTGTCATTGCCTTCCCAAGTAACTACAACTGGGCTACTTAATAAGCCTCCCAGAAGCCTCCTACCAGTTCAGGGGGAAGATCCAAATCTTCTTCAACTTCCCATCCACCTCCTTCTTCCTGTCCTTTACCTAGACCTTCCTCTCCAAAGCCTTCTCCAGCATCCACAAACCCATCTGCATGGAGGGGGCAGGGGGGAAATAGTCAGAGATCTTTACACAGACTCACACTTACAATTCTGCAAGCAAAACTCTTGGATTCACCCACCTTCATCCAGCTGCAACTCTGCATCTTCTCCCCAGCCTTCAGTGCCAACAGTGTCGATATCAATATCAGCAGCCAAGGCACCCCCTTTGCCTACAAAAAGGGTAGGATCCTTCATTTACTCATTTCTGAGTGGGTCAGGTGTTAAGCAAAGAATTACATTAGGCCAGCACCTTGCCCTCCCATTGCCAATTCCCATCTTGTGCTAAAAGGCCAATGATTTGAGAGATTTGCCAAAGACAGTGTAAATGCCAAGCTGGATTCCAACCTCTGCTAGTAACACACAATAAATCTGACGTTAATGGCAACAGTTCAGGAGCCACAGAGACAAGTATCTCCATTCTGCATATCCCAGTTTAATGCAACTTTCCAAGTACAAAGCAATACCTTTGCTAACAATTGTTCCTTCAAAGAACCCTTTGGAGACAGTCAGCAATGGCCAGTTGGTATCCAGAGGCATGACAGGAGCAGGAGGCTGCAGCAGCTTTGCATTGTGATCAATGTCGGGAATCTGAGCAGAGAGGAGCAGAAAACAGTTAAAGGCCACATATGGAAAATCCCATTCTTTGGCCTACCTGCCTCCAAGCAGCACAGTCTCAAGCCTTATAAGCGGTGACTGGAATGGAGATGGTTCTTCCCCTTCCCTCCCAGCTCCAGAAAGGAGCTGCCTAGCCAGTCACACTAACACCAGATCCCACTGTCACCTTCCTCCCAAACTCTAGAGCTCTTATAACGAAGTAGGAAGCATTAGTCAGTTTGCTAACCGTTTCCTTTTCCGGATCAAACGTTTCCTTCAGGCTTTCAGCTTCTTCATCCAGACCATGAGTTGCAGCCGTGAGATAGGCCAGGGACTCTGCAATGAGATACAACTAACGTGAGAGCATGTTCTTCGCTGCCTAGAGAAAGAAAACTTCACACACCAGCACACATGGCCACGCTGTCACAAAGGAAAGATTAAGAGCATCCCAAGGTGTAGAATCACACCTTTAGGGGTGCCACTGGATTTGGGACTAGAATGTGCAGGCAACGACTGGCCGTTTGAATATGCTCTACAGTTGATTCAGGTCTCCAGGGTTACTTTCTGCTCACCTAATTCAGTTTCTCAGGTAAGGCATTATGCTGATCTGCCTCCAAAAATTACTGCTCATCCCAACAACCTCTCCAGCTTCTCCCCAGCCCACAGGGACATATCTTAGTCTGATATTACTCACTTTGCCCACAGTTCTTCAGGATCCTCACTCTCTCTGCCACATCTCCTAGATACAAGGCATTCTGGTAGTGGCCACTCATATCTTTACGGATCTCAGCTAAACCAAAAGAAAAAAAAAAAAAGTCACGATAGCTTTGCTATTCTCGGCCTCCACTGTGATGCCACTAATTCCCTCTGGTAATGACACTCAGATCCTCTTATCTCATTCTTCTTTGCCACCAGCCTGGCACTCACCTATCTTCATCATCTTCCGAAGCTTCTCCAGATTGCCAGTGATGAGATAGAGGAAGGAGAGCCTATCAAAGTTCTTGGTGCGCTGGTAGCACATCTCCACAATCTGGTGATTTCCCTGCAACAATGCCACTTCTCCCAGTTTCTCCCAGCAATTCTTGTCATCCAGAGCTTTGGCTGCTTCCAGAGCAATCTAACAAGAGAATTGACACGGTTACACAGGCTTTGCAGAAAGCAGTTTTCTCTGCAGGCTTCTGTTGGTAATGCCTGTGATGGAAAGCACAGGACTACAAGGATCACTGCACTAAATCGTGCCCCCAGATGAAGGCCTGCACCTTAGTAAGGCTGCCATCACCCTCAATTCTATCGCTCCCAAGTAATACTACTTCTTCTTCCCAATACTCCTCCTCCTTGCAGCAAAAAGTAAGGTTTGCAAGCGATGCCCCAGGGACATGCCTTTCTCACAGCATCACCTGCCACCTCACCTCAATGTTGCCACACTCCAGTGCCAGGCTGAAACGGGTCTTCTCATCCTTGACAAAGTGCAGGGCCACCTCTGGATAGCCCTTTTTCTGCAGGTAGGCAATGATGGACTGGCCCACAAGCTTAGCATTCCTCACCATGTGCAGCACCTGCAAAGAAAAGGCCCAGGCGTTAAAGCTGTCAACAACTTCCCTTTATACTCGGGTATAGGTCAAGGAAGAGTGCGGGGTTTCTCACGTCTCCTCACCTCATCGTACTTTCTGTTGATCAATGCCAGCTTGAATTTGAATTCTGTGGGATCAATGGTGAGGACCCTGGGGCGGCACTCTCTGTCCAGGCAGTACACGTTGTTCCCCTTCACACGGGTAACATAGATAGGCAGGTCCAGGGTGCGGATAATTCCATGATCTCTGTGCCAACATACGGCACGCACGTGACATGCATGCCAACAGAACACATCTGTACAACTACATTCCCTGCCTCAAAGGAGGCTCAACACTCTGTATTTTATTTCAGCCTGCATTATAAAAGCAAGCACCAGTCAGATGACCACTGCAGCCATCCAGCCCAGCAATAAAATACCAGTGCACAGGGTAAGCAACCAAATATAAGTATTTAGTTCTAGCTGTCTTTGGGTACACCCATGCTGTAATAAAAGTGCTCTTTCACAAGCAGCAGCTTTGGTGCCTGCCGAAGACAAAACACCCATGGTAGCCTGCACAAGGCCTGCCAGTTCAACAACTCGGTGCACGACTCCCAGACTCACCCTGTGGTGACAGCATATTTGATGTGATTGCTGGTGGTATAGATGAAAACACCACTTTCATCCCAGGCACCGCTCTTGACACGGATGTTTTCATGGATGTTACACAGTGATTCCAGCTTTCTGTTGCAGATCATGATGGCTGGAAAAGTAAGCCAAAAGAAGTAAGGCTAGGGAACCCTCTACTCCTATGTGCCTCTGAATGATGGCTTCTCTCTTCCATAGTCCCAGCAACAGGAACTGTATTCAGAGTGTCAGACACTAAGGAGATGATGACAACCACAAGTAAATTGTCACCATCTGCCTTTGTTTTATGAAAGGGATTAGCTGGATCATTTTGTACAAGAAGCCCTCTGTTTTAAAAGCTTACAGAATAACTGTATGAGGTTCAATAAGGCCAAGTGCAGGGTCCTGCACTTTGGCCACAACAAACCCATGCAACGCTACAGGCTTGGGGAGGAGCGGCTGGAGAGCAGCCCGGCGGAAAAGGACCTGGTGGTGCTGGTTGACAGCCGGCTTAACATGAGCCGACAGGGTGCCCAGGTTGCCAAGAAAGCCAACAGTGTCCTGGCCTGTATCAGGAATAGTGTGGCCAGCAGGAGCAGGGAAGTGATTGTGCCCCTGTACTCGGCACTGGTGAGGCCGCACCTTGAATACTGTGTTCAGTTTTGGGCCCCTCACTACAAGAAGGACATTGAGGTGCTGGAGCGTCTCCACAGAAGGGCAATGAAGCTGGTGAGGGGTCTGGAGCACAGCTCTTATGAGCGAGCGGCTGAGGGAACTGGGGTTGTTTAGTCTGGAGAAGAGGAGGCTGAGAGGAGACCTTATCGCTCTCTACAACTACCTGAAAGGGGGTTGTGGCGACGAGGATGTTGGCCTCTTCTCCCAAGTAACTAGTGATAGGACAAGAGGAAATGGCCTCAAGTTGCGCCAGGGGAGGGTTAGATTGGATATTAGGAAAAATTTCTTCACTGAGAGGGTGGTCAGGCATTGGAACAGGCTGCCCAGGGAGGTGGTGGAGTCGCCATCTCTGGAAGTGTTCAAGAAACATGTGGATGTGGCGCTTCGGGACATGGTCTAGGGGACATGGTGGCGCTGGATTAATGGTTGGACTTGATGATCTTGAAGGTCCTTTCCAACCTAGTGTTTCTGTGATTTCTGTGATTCTGTGAGAAAGGTTTTGCTGAAGAGAAAGTGGCAGGGCTCATACTGTGAACGTCTTCAGCTGCACCTTCACTGCAAGCCATGGCACAGAATGGTTTCTCTAGCAGGCCACACTAGCAGGGACTCTGCTCCCAACCAAGGAAGGCGCTAGGATCCAGGTGAAACACTGCGCGCCCCACCACTTACCGTGCTTAGCCAGCAGAGCTACATGGGACATGTCAGCCGACCAGATGACATATTTCACCTTGGAGATTTTCACTGAGGCCAGAGTTCTGGGAAAGGACAGCACTGGCATCAGAGATTTGAACAATACTCCTCCACAGCAAGCTCTACGACCAAGCTCTGTATGATAACTGCCAGTGCCCAACTGAAGCCCCTTTTTGCCATTCTGGAGCTATAAAATCATGAGGCAGAACTGAGTGTTCTCTGCAGTCCAGTACAGCAAAACAAACCTCTCTCCATACCTCTACAATAACAAGTGTGAGTGACAACTGACTTCAAAACCTAGATTTCTGAGGCATTTTAGGGATAGATTCAACAGAACGAGGGAAATAAGGTATTTCCAAGCATCATTTGTGTTGTTCAATTTACTTGTAACTTTCCCAACAACACTAGAAAGACAAAGGCACACAAATTAAGGAAATGAGGCAAGTTCTGGGACATAAGCAATAAACATAAACCTTATCTATCTGCACATAATCCAGAACCTTCTCAAGTCTACAAAAATGGCCAAAAGCACCAACTCCTTGCCTGTTTCTTTGCGGCTAGCAACATGTACACCAGCACAAACATACTGCCAAGAGCATTCTGAGCAGATATAAAACCTGAGGGACAAGACATCAGGCAAGCTTAGCTTGATTGAGTTAGGGTTTTTTGATTTCTCTCCACTTTTATAGCACCCAATTCTGTAGTCACAGGATTTACAAGGATATGGCACACATCTCCCTGTGATCAATGGCACGATGCCTGCAGCATAAATTGCACCTTGGCTATGTTTACACTCTGCTCTTCGTAACAGTTGTTAGCCGTGGTTTGGATCAGTCTGACGCAGCCTGCAGCTGATGCTAAATTCTGGAGTGCATTAATAGCTATTACTTGTCCCCAGAGGGCATACGCCAGCAGGATTACAATATTAAAGCTTCTCCCAGCAGACTGGATCTTACCGCTTCTGCTGCACGTCAAAGAGGGTGATGGAGTCTGCATCCCTCAGTAACAGGTTCCCTGTGCCAGCATAGAAAATCTCATCACAGTTCGGCACCTGCACCTTCTTCGTGATCTCATTCTTCAGGTTTTTGATGAGGATCTGCCATTTGACGAGAGGAAACGTAATAGCACAGGACAGTTAGGTAGATTCTACAAAGAAATTCAGGATTATTTTAACTCAGAATTGTTGTATAGCTGAACCTCCTTGACAAGAGGCCAAAATAAGATCTGCAGCCTTTCTTGAAGTAGGATCAGACTCTACCCTGCTAGAAAACCCAACCACAAGTTTGCCAGGGTGCAGACACAGCGTATCCTTTCTTTTCAGCCCCACTGCTCTCATTACTAGCTGGCTAATACAGCGTGCAAGCCCTCTCTACAATGAGTATATGAACAAAGTATATATTAGGGAAAAGTGAGAGAGAACATAGCGTAGATAGAAAAAGGAAATCAGGAAGTTGAGAGTGGAAAACAGCAAGTGGAGACGGGGAAGGCAGGGAGGAGTAACAGAATAAGCATGAAATAAACTTGAATTGACTAAGCCAAAAACCATCCTGAATTAAGGGGGAAAAAAAAAAAAAAGGAAAAAAAAGAAAAAATACAATATCCTGCATGGAGCAAAGAGACTTTTCTTCCCCTTCACATCAAGTAAATTCAAGCAGGGAAAACTTTCCATGACTGTCTTTCCTCCTTCTTTCTCCTATTTTTTCACCACTTCCCCATTAATTTCATGCTACAAAAGTGACCTGGGTGGCTTCACAGTCCTGTTCTGGTCAGCTTTTATTCCTGAACTCACCTGCTGCAGCAGGTTTCCAGCAACTGAGCTAAGATTTACTGTCAAAGGAGTTTAATAATACTTCAACTCATTACATTTCCACTGTACTATATTACTTCATGTATGTCTGCAGCCCGCTCTCTGCTGACAATGCTTTGCCAGTCTTCTTGGATCTCTAATAATTCTGTGAAGCCAATCTCCCCGCTTTCCATCTGCATGCTTACAAATGACAACATACCCCGTTAAAAAGATGCCCCTATTAAGCTTGTCCCCTTACCGAGTGCATGCGATCCAGGACTGCAAAGCGGTTACGAGCTACCCACACAGCTGTTAGCCCGGAGGAACGCTTCCCTTCAGGGGCTAGGGAGAGCAGAACACAGGCAGTGAATAAAACCTCTGGCAGGCTCTTACAGCAACACATTATTCAGTCTTGTTTGATCCCATCTTGGCTGTTGTAGCCGCTTCCTACTAATTCATGTTTAACCTGAGGCTATGCAGAAGACTCATTTCCTCCCCCAATGTCCTTTCAGATCTCAGCGTGGCCAGCGCCAGCCCTCCTCTCCAGCCAAGGCACAAGACAAGTGGCTGTCTGTACCGCCAACGCCACTGCTTGGCACTGAAGCAGGCCATCCTGGGCGACAGCACCGTCTGTCAAGCTAACGAGCAGAGCCTTGCTGGCCAAACGAACGGAGCAGCGAGGGTCCCGGCTTCAATGTAAGCCCCCCTCTCTCCCTCTCCCCCCTGCAAACTGATATAACGAGCTGGAGGAGAAAGGCTGCACTCTCCCCAGTGCGCAGCTGTTCTCCCAGTTTTAAAATGCTAATACAAACACAGCACTCTGCACGTCAGACAGCACAGAAAGAACAGTGCCGCAGGATGCGCTTCAGATGTGGAGAAGGCTTTTTGCAGCAGCAGAAGGGAACAGAGAAGTGAGGTGAGAGAGCTGCTGCTGTTTTGGTAAAATAAAATTTTCTTTAGTTCTCAGCCCCTGTTCTCACCAGTCCTGCTGCTCAACACGAGCGTTTTTGGAGACTCACACGCTAGACCAAGTGCTATTTCACCAAATATAGTGCCATTTGTGGCAGACCTACGCCCTAACAAATGGTGACTTAAACCTGACTGCCTCAGCCCTTGTTTACTACCCAACACAAGAAAGACTTGATTGACTCAATTCCCAGCTCTGCTTCAGGTTTCTGATGGCAACTTCACCCGCTTTTCCGAATCTCCACAACTCAGCATTTTTACTAGCTTTAAGACTTTAACATGACTGTAGATCAGGCAGAAAATGATTGAAATATAATATATTATTGTTATAATTATATAACAGAAGACTGTTAAAGAGTGGCAAGAAACCTTAGCTTCCCCTGTAGGTCAGGTAAATAAGCTGAAGGACATGAGCATGACAACTCCAAGGCACATATTAAATACCTACAGTCCTGTGAGACCATCAGAAAGTTGAGTATATAGCAGCTTCTTGGAGAAGATACTTACCAACCAGTAGAACTTTATGCTATTCTTGAAAATTTATTAAAAGTGCATGGTTTCTATGAGGCCTAGACATTTCTTCCTCTGAAAGAGTAACATCTTTCCTAATTTAAAGGGTCATAAGCTGGGTGTCCCCAGCATGTCAGCTTTGAACCTCTCAATCAAACTGAATATTTGAAATCTATTCAGTAACATTTAATCAATATAAAGTTACTAAAAAGCTCCCTTTCTCTTTCTCTCTCCAGATACACCTGCTGATTGTACTCAGCAAAGAAATCCTCCCTTCATTAGACCTGCAGAAATCAATAAATCCATAAACAAGCGAGCTGGATTCCAGTCTAACTCATTCATCACTCCCACTCATTTCAAAATCTTTACTGCCGTGATGACAGAGGCAGGAGGAACCAGCTGGAGTTTCAGGTCCCAAATGGAATTCATAGTTAGGAGAAAGAATTATTTTTTTTTTTCCCTAAATCATGTTTTGACTTGTAAATTGCACAAAACTGATCTGGAATTTGCCGAGAGGAAGAATGACTACTGGCAGCCTGGCACTGTCACTTTTACAGCCACTTCTCAGAGTATAAAACCTCTTAGAACAAAAGATATCTGGTTAAAATCCATCTCTGCTGACAAGCCAGGAAGGCTGCCTGCTGCGTCGAAAGGGAAAATGGAAAGTTCCTAATAACAAAATTATAAAATATATATTTGTAGCAGTAAAAGTTTGGGATGAACATGAATTTTTCAAGTCAGTGTAGTGTGATATAGTGAACAGGAAGCCTGCCAAATGATGTGTGCTGCAGGGGCATTGGGAAACATGGAGAAAGAGTCCAACAAGAGAGGCTTAGAGAAATGAAGCTTTTTTTATATATAAAACACACACAGTTGGAGAGTGGAGGAGGGGACAGCTACACAGTAATAAACACTCACAGGGATTAATGTGACATAAAAAATGCCTACCGTCCGGGTTCTGGGAGTCTGCATCCTTGGGAATGGTGTATAGGTCATAAGTACTGTTCTCTAAGTTGCTGGCTCTCTGCAGAGGAGGAAAAACCCATTTTGAGATACGATTTCACAGAACCGACATTCACAGACTCGTGGAAAGTTCTTTAGCACATTATGCAGCAAAACTGACTTACTGTGCAGAGAAGGACAGCATTCTCAGCTGGGTTGTATGACATGTTGAACACAGGGAACTTGGAACCACTGAAAAAGAGTCAGGAAGAAAAGAGAAAATTAGAGTGGACCAAGATTATTTCTACCAAAGTCATCTTCCGATAAACGCTCTTCATTTTCTGAGACACACCGAGTACCAGAAAAGCTCAGTTTTGATGAATTTCTTGAATCAAAACCACTTGGAAACGCTGTAAGAATGTCAGCATTTCACAAATGAAAGAGCTAGCATTCCAGTTTGAAGTTACTTCAAACTTGTTAAAAAAAATAAAATTGTACCTATACACAGATAAAAATTGACATAAAAAACTTCTTGTAGGCTTTGTAAGTTCATCTGACAGAAAAGGCAGTCGAAACTGAGGTATGTGAATAGAACAACACGACTTATCTGTGAGACACTCACAAAGGATTCAGGGTACTGGCAACACCTCTTGTTACAAGATGAGCCCTCATCTCCTACCTTCGCAGCTGCATGACAGCAACATCTTTTGAACTGTTGAAATCAAGTTGGCGGAGGAAACGGTCCTTCACATAATACAGCATGTTCCCATGCACAGCATAAGCAGGCCGCTCACGCTCCAGTTTGAACACAATCATGCCACCGTCATGGCCTGAGAAAAGGCACGCGAGAATTCAAACGTGAATTAAATCCTCTGGTTTTTCTCATTATGACGATGGCACTATCAAGCCCTTCAAACCAAGAGCCAACCAAAAGCATAACCAACGACTGCCAGCCACGTCTGCTACTCCTCAGCCTTACTGAATTAAGTGTTTCCACTTCTTTCCTAAGGGCCCACCCCCTTTTAGTTCTCCCAATAAATATAAGATCTGACACTCTTCTAGAAACGCTTCACCTCGCTGTCACGCATTTAAGTGTTAATAGTCCAGCATGGGTTCCCCTAGGACCTATCCCATCCCTTCTTAGCCTTAGAGCATCTGGCTAGTGAATGCAGAGGCCCTCTCATTCTAGCTTTGAACTGCAGCTGATACAATGAGATTGTGTTCCACTAAATAAGGATCTTTTCCCTATGATACATTTAATAAAGGCACCTGCAAGTCAGCGTGTTCTGCAAAGCGTGCTAAAGAAAAGCAAATCCTATGCGGATTTCCTATATGGAATACATTTTCTCTTCACAGCAACGTGTCATCAGACACTGAGTAGGAGCTTTTTTTACCTGCAGCAAAGAGGTTGAGGTTGGGATGAGCAGCCAATACCCAAAAGCGATCATGATCACGCCGAAAGGTCTGGACACCCGTGCTTAAATGTGCAACAGAAGGAATAAGGAATATAAACAAAATGGAAACCTTGGTGTAAACTTCAATTCCCAAAATGAAGATCCTAAGCTTTGCCATACAGATCATCTCTAACATTCAGCATGAGGAGTCCACTGAGACTTCAGAACACTGTATTCAAAGCCTCCTGTCAAATGATATATTCTCATTTAACAGATTTTCAGCAGCAATATCACTAGACAAGTCAGACCTCTTCCACTTGCTTTCAGACAATTACAAGCCTTGCTCTTAACGTGTGTCTCAAAAGGACAGAAAATATGAAAAACATGCCTACACACTCGTGAATTATCAAACACTAGCATTGTTGTTTTAAGAACTGCTAGTGTTCACTTTCTCTAAGAATAACTGTAGGTCTTCCATATCTGTAAAAACTTTCACAATAAGACTGAGTCAGATGCCTGACAAGCACTAACCGTTTAGACATATCCCAGACACGGATGCTCTTGTCTTCCGAATTGCTGAGGATCAGTTCCTGCCGCGGGTGAAAGACAGCACACGAGACATTGTTGTAATGCCCCCGGCAAGTGTCAACCTCCCAGGCCTTCGATTCTAACCAGAAGTGGAAAAGAATGAGAAAAAGAATGTTTAAACGGGTTAAGCCCTGCCAGAGCAGAAGCCCAGCATGTGCTTTATTATAAAGCAAACTGCATTGGCCACTAGTTACTACACCATTCTTTGCAATTTACAGTTATGATCTCCCTCTAACCACTAGCACAGCCCACCTAAGAGAAACAGATAAGCCAGACTACTAAAGAGGTGCTAAGAACTATCTATAGTTCGGCTGGACTGAGCTGACAAAAGCACAACCATTCCTGATGGAGGGCTTCTGCCTCTCAAATCATCCCCCTTTTATTCCATCAGTGCACACTCAAAAAAATTCAGAGTCAAGTTTTTCTACTCCTACAAGCTTCTGCTCAGCAGTGTGTGCTAATCAAAAGAAGCTAGAAGTGTTTGCTAGAGAACTGCGCTCTCCTCAAATTGCAAAAGCCAATGCTGCTTCAGATTATTTACTGCTTTATCATAGAGACATGTCTGCAAAGTGTAAACTACCTCCAGGTTCCGCTTACAGATGTTCAAACATAAATTTCAACTCTTAACCCCCTTCTCCCTGTGGACTCCCCTGGAGAATCCTCTTACCATTCATCCGCCAGATCTTCACTTGCCGATCATCAGCTCCCGACACAATAAGTGGCATTGTAGGGTGGAAGGCAGCCCAGTTCACCCCACGATCATGGCCCTACAAGCAAAAAAAAAACAGTCACTTGAAGCAATTTGATGAAAGGAATGAGCAAAGAAAGGACGAAGCAAACAGAGACTGCAGACAGGCTGGCCAAGACACAGCTTTTACTATTTTTATACACCATGCTGCTCATACCGAATGCTTACAGATAGTAAGATTATAGATGCCTGCAATAATAAGCTTTGCAGATACTGTTCTTCACCACCAGAGCAAAGCTAAGGCTCAGCAGCAGAGCAGCACCACCTCCTAGCTTTAACAAGCCATTACAGAAGGCTGTCTCTACCATAATCTCCTCTGTTGCTTCCAGTAACACAAGGTAATAACATCTGCTATTTAACTGAGCTTTTGGTTGTACAGAGAAAACCGTATCTGTTTGGTTACAGTGCAAACATCTCCAGATCTCAGATTTTAAACTCCAAAAAAGTAATGCCATAATCTACACGGGCATAGAGCTCTATAGAGCCAAGTGTTTCAACTCTTTTTTTCCTCTGCTATTCTTCTGGGCTTCTAGAGGATCTTTTGTGTCATAGATTTCATTAAATAAATCTGAAAAGGCTGCACTGCACACACATTGACACTGTACCTCAAGAACGTGCTTCACAACCGCATCTGTCGTCCCAAACAAATCCACCCCAGTTATTCCCCTGACATCCGATTCCACAGCTCCAGGGGACAGGTTCTTCTTCCTTAGTCCTTGTGGAACAAAGAGGAAGGAGAAGCAGGGGTGGAGGAAGTAAAAATTATATTATCAAAATAACATTTCTAATTCAACAAGTTGAGCTCTCTCCTGTGCTGTTTACACACATCTTCAGGGGAAATTGGGAACTTGAAAGAGGGTGAGAAACATCCAAGACTCTCTTCCACTTCCTCCAAAAGTGCAAGCTCAGATTAGACATACCAAAAGGAAAGTCTGCAATGCAGCAAATCATACGACGCACACCTCAGCTCACTGGGACGCAAACAGCAGCACCTCAGCAACGAAGGACGGACACATTCCAACTTCTCCCTCTCTTACCTCTTTGCTAATCTGAGCTTGCACCTTTCAAGGGACTTTCACCCATGCCACTTTGATAACCTCTTGGTTATGGATTTGGACAATCTGCCTGGACACCAAATATTTTCAGGAGCTAAAACTGTATGAAATACAGCCTGGTCCCAATTCTGAAAACTTAAGTAATCCAGACTTATGTTTGGAAGTTTGGAACAGACCTATGTCTGCTATCCTTCATTAAAACCCAGTAGAATACAGTAGAGAAACTGAGAATCGAAAAAAGCTTCTCCTCCAACAGTGCACAGGGAAAAGAATGTACATATAACAGTCTAAAACAAAACTTAGAAAATCTGCTTTTCCATTTGAAAGCACTTGGCCCAAGGAAAATTTATCAAGGATAAGAAAAAACTGTCTAGGATAAAAGCAGAATTGCACTGATATAGATACTAACAGGCAGGGAAGTGTAGGAAAGAAAGAAGCAATACTGAAGACAAAAATTATTTTCTTGTTACAATTCTGATTCCCAAACTCCTCACAAATTAACAGCTCAATATCTCAACAACCTCTCTGGATGAAACCAACACATTAAGCAGTATCTCACAGCAAAGCGCAAATGCTGAGCGTGTGGAGGTACACATACAGATGGTCTGGGTAACAGTGAAGGACTTGAATGGCTGAGTAGGTACTTCTACAAAGCTGACACAAAGTATCCCAGAAAGGAGGAATAAAACATACATAATTCAGGTAAGATGAGTGAAGAAACACAAGACTTTTGGAAGAGAAAATACTTGAGCCTTTGACAAGCCAGTGAAACAGGACTGGGACACAAGTGGAAAATCTCTGGCGTAACTGCACAAATCGAGAGGAAAGGCAGGACACTCACAGAACACACTAGCCTCCTGTGTTGCTCTGGGGAGGGAGCAAGGAGAGAAAAGGGTCTTGCAGCAGAAAAGCGGATATTAGGCATTCTGGGGACAGCTGTTAAAAAAAAAAAAACTGAAAAGGAGACTCAGCTCAACATGCACACAAACATTCAGGAGAAGAGGTATTAAAATAACTAGAGAAAAGAGGCAACATGCTAACTGCAAATGACAACTTGCAAGTTAGGAGAGAAGACAACAGACGGTCCTTCGCAAATTCTTTTGCTCTATTCTCTTCCTCAATGGAAACTAAAGAGGGCTCTTGGGTACAGACTCTTTCTTTGCTGGGCTCAGGTTCCTTCCTGTCCCTGTAATCCATCCGCATTCAGTGGGCAATTAGAGAAGTGCAGTGGAGGCTGAAGTTGTACCAAAGTTTTTGCCAGCCATCAACATACATCCACTGAGGGTGCTCAGGGAGAGGCAGTCTAGGTCTACAGACACTATCTGGGGACTCTTGGCTCAGGTCCTCACAATCCCAGAACTTCTCAACATTGCCAGCCCAAACCCTCGGGTGATCCTCACTTCAACTGGTCATCCAGATCAATTAAACAGAGCCCCGTCAGAATAAGGAAATTTCCTGCCAAGCATCAGACATCAACATTTGCCAACCACAAGTAAGGTTAAACAAGAGTTCATCAGGGTAAGACCACTAACACCCTCCTTGAGGGTTAATACATATAAAGAGACAGAGAAAACCAGAAGACTATTCTTCAGTTTCTGCAGGTTAATATCAGCCTTATGAGCAAGGATTTCATTCCACAGAACAGGTGAATAATACAACACAAATGCTCATGCATTTTGTATATTAACAAGCTTATTCTGACTGCATTCACACAGTCTCTCTCAGGAGATTAGCAGGAAACAGACCCTTTAACTTTGAGCATACTTGGTTTTTGCATTGAAGATCCTCTACCAGAAGGTTTCAAACCAAGGAGCACTAACTATACAGGAATTCAAAACAACAGAGCCATCTTCACGTGCCGGTGCCCAGTCCAGGTCACGCTCCTCATCCGTCACACTCTCTGCTGAGAGTGCCAACTGGATGCCTCCAGTTTTGTGAGGAGGATTTTGGAATGCGACCTTTAAACTCATTTAACTGAGGGCATCAAAGCACCAGTGCTCATAATCCCAAGAACTGCTGAAAAAAATTCCCACTGATGTCAGCAGAAGCTGCAAGTTAACAGCAGCGCTCAGAAATAGAGTTAAAGCTCAACACCAAATGATGCTCTCTATGACTAGGATTATGTGCACAACAGACACCAGACAAAGCAGGGAAATAACACTTCCCAGGAGACTGCTAGAGCCAGAACAGAATCCTGCTAAGGACCCAAGTAATTTTGAGGAAAAATTGGGGAGTGGAACTGGACTTTGAACCTGTTTCTCATGTCTTTGTAGGTTTTTCCACACACTAGTATTCTTGCAGTGTCGTGTCTGACTGGAGCGACAGCTGAGTCAATAATTCAGCATGTCTCTAAAACCCCTCATCACATATCAGCTGAGAAAAAAAAAGGTCTGTACTATCTCCAAACCAATTTGGCAGCTGGAACTCTGCTGAGAGAGAGTGTTTGTGGGAGAATGCAGCAGCAAAGCTTACTGGCAGAATAGCTGTTAAACTCCCCATGCTGGCAGTAGAGAGAGGGGGACAGGTTTTAAATAACCAGGATATCCTGTCCCCAGCCCCTACTGTTGACACAGCTGGCCATGTCTGAGCGTGTACTCCAAATAACGCAGCGTGCCCAACCAAAACTGCAATGGCGAGAGCAGCAGGTCAGACAAAGCCTGTCTGTAGAACAGTTTATGTTGTAACACCACCAGTACAGCCCCCATCTGCCTCCCACCAGTCCCTTATCTCCATCTAACATTTTCTTTATTTCTAGCTTTTCATTTAGGGATCATATTGCATTCCATTAAGTCAACTTGTGGCCTAGGTATAACTAAGAAATAGGTAAGATATCAGCAATGTACTTCAGATTTTTGACCTGCAACTCCAGCTCTGATCTTTAGGCCACGCTTCATTTTATGAAACGACAAGCAGACTGAAAAAGCTGAAAGAATTCCTAATAATATCATCTTCCTGTCACCACTCACAACTAGGCTACCAAAAAAACCCCCAGAAAACTAAAACCCTACCCTTTCTGCAATCCAGACAGGGCCCTTTTTACCTTTCTCTCAGAACAAATGATTTATTGCTGCCTCCAAAAGTTTTTCAAGGGGATAAAGGTGATCCAGACATTTCTGAAATCCTCCTATAAGTCTGGCACATCTGCAAAGCTGATCAGTTGATAACGTCCCTTCTGACAGCAATTTGTTGCTTATATTGGCTATAAAATCAGGCTGGGAGATTAGATTGCAGAATCTCTGTCTTTAGAGGTTTTTTTGGCTGCACAAAGCTACAGCTCACCTCATTTACTGTCGCAGAAGACTGGCTTCAAGCAAAAGGGTGGACTAGGTGACACCCAGAAGTCCCTTCCAGCCAACCTCCTATGACTTCATGGAAACTGAGAGGAACACGTCCCCATCAATACAGAACTTTTAATTTTCTGCCTGAGGCTCCTTCAGTCAACAGGCTACTCCTCCTGCTCTCAGATCCAAACCACTCTTTCCTGCCTCGCTTGGCTTTCAGCAATTGCAGTTTTGAAGTGGGCTTTGCCACTGGGTACCCCCTTGATCTGGGCAGCTCACCAGAAATATCCCAAACGCGCACAGTCTGATCCAAGCTGGCTGACACTACCAGGTCCTCAGAGGGGTGAAACTGGGCACACATCACATAGTGGTTGTGTCCTGTCAGCACACTACAACAAAAAGGACAGAAAATACCATTTAAACATAGGATATATTAATACAGATTCCAATTTGCACCAACGGCAATAAGCTCAGTCTCGGGAGGTACGATGAAGAATACAGGACTGCTAAATGCTACTCTTCAAGAGTTAGCATGACAGAACACTGAGCACGTCTGTTCTTACAGAGAGCATTTCAAGGGCCGACTTTCTGATATTAGTAACTTTACAGGCTTTGGCACTGGCACACATTATTTTACCCTCAAAAAATTTTCAACCAAACAACATGTGAATTTATGAATACAAGTCTAGTGGCATCAGAATAAACAAGCAAAAGACAAGACTGACAGAAATATTCATAACTGATCAGTTCTCTTTGTCAGTTCTATTCCTTCAACTAAGCACAGTTTCCGCTCGAAAACAACAAACAAAGAGAGCTCGCCCCCAAACCGTGCAGTTATTTTTTTAAAGCATTCACTGATTTTACCAAACACAAGTTCTGGACTGCCAGTTCCAAACCCGAATGGTCTGGTCATCAGAAGCACTCAAGATCCAGGGATATTCCTAAAAAGATAGAGTATTCTGTATATGAAATAACACACACCCCAGACTTTCCCTCCCCACACAGTATTTTCTAACTGCTCCCAGGAGTGGCCCTTTTTAAATCTTATTTAAGATCTTGTAGGCAGAGTTTATGCCTCTTACACTTCTACAGAAGGCCACCATATCTGGAGCGCCTTTATACCAGCAAGTCTAGCACAATTTCTTTAGCAAAGATTCCCATCCAGGGAAACGAAAGACAGATTCCCTTTCATACACAAAGGGAACAGGCATCCATCACTGGGGTAAGTACAAGAGGAGCTTACGTGGTGGAAGAAGGTAGTGCGAATATAATCCAAGTGCCCGAGCAGAGTGAAGAGACAACGGCGCAATTTGTAATTCCAGACCTGCACAACACAGAAGCAGAACAGTGATGATATGTGCCACCATCTGCTAGATTTTGTGTGCATTCTCGCATTTCAGTTCACCTACAAGCCTCTCTCTTCCATTTTAAAATGTGTTTACAATGCAAGTTACAATGAGACTTCAGTTAACTCTAATGTACCTGAAACAAGAACATCGCAATTCCCAAACATGATTTCCCTCCCACACACCCTCTTTCTCATCTTTTAACCAGTTTCTTTGCGCATTCCCTTCCCTAGATGACACCTTTTAGAGAACAAGAACCAAAGGGGTAAGATTTTACCTTTATTTTATAATCATCACCTCCAGAAACAAAGAGAGGCTGCTGTTTGTGGAAATCAATACCTCGAACGGGTCCTACAAATAGGAAGAGCAGGTTGGACACAGCAAGATGGCTGACAGCTGGAGCAGTCCCTTATACCGCTTAAAAACTACAATTTGCATTCCTTCTCAATCCTGTTGCTATTGATAAATCAAGAACTTCAAAGCAAAAATAAAAATTCATGTACCAGTCTGAGAGCCCATTCCCAAACCCGCTCTTTTCCATCCAGATGCTTGCAATAACCCATCACAAAACATCCAGGCCCTTCAGATCTGTATTTACAGGTTCATTTTTACACCAGAAACAAAACTACTACCCCACTTTATGCATGCGTAAGCAATGTTCAGAGCCAGCAAAGTGGCCATGAAGAAACACAAGGCTAAAACTGAGAGGTTCTGAAATCAAGCAAGCAGAGGCTTCAGTAACACTTCAACAGAGCCTCCCTTCCTCCTCTCGCACCCCAGTCTTCCTCCACAAGCGAGTCCCAACACCTTCCCCCCGCACACTGACCATCGTGCTCATCGAATTTGTCGATAAGGGTGCACATCCGATAATCCCACAGCTGGATGACACCATTGTGCAGGCTGGTGAGGATCCACGGCCGCTTGGGGTGAAAGCTGAGCCCTGCCGAGGCACAGAGAGACGTGACAGCACACCTGGGAGGCCAGAGGCCCGAGGCAGCCCTGAGGAAACCGTCCGCGCCCCCCGCGCAGGGACCCCAGGGGCGGCCAGTAGCTCCCGGCACGGCCTCCCCGGATCCCCAGGGGCTCCCAGCACGACCCAGGCCCCACCATTACCTTTCACCCGGGCAGACTTAGTCTCGAACTTGGTCAGCATCGCCCTCCACCCCGACCCTCAGCACCGCCACC